CAGCAAGATGAAGGGAGTATAAAGGATCTTCTCTTTTTCGGCTGTCGTAACGCTGAATCAGACTACTTCTTCAAGGACGAGTGGGCGCAGCTTCAATCCTCTGGTGTGCCCCTAGAAGTTTTCGCGGCGTTCTCCCGAGACCAGGTCAGTGCCCAGCTCCACCCTGTTCAAGTCTACGCTAACGATATGACAGCGTCAAAAGGTTTACGTCCAAGATCTCATTCGGCAGCAATCCTCCCTCGTTTTCTCCCACCTCTTCCATAAATCCGGCATCCTATACATTTGCGGGTCATCGGGCAAGATGCCCCAGGCAGTGCGCGAAGCGCTCATCGAAGCTTTTCAAGAACATGGGAATATGGACAGGGAGGGCGCAGAGGATTATCTCGTGAGTATGGAAAAGAGTGGTAGATATCGCCAAGAGACGTGGTAGACATGTGGATGACGTTATACATATATTTTCGATCTCCTGCTCTCCAATTAGCCTATCACTCAATCTATGGCCCGTATCTCGAATATGCCAAGTGTCGATCTTATTTCAATGAAGCGCTAATCGTACTGGCGAAATTGGACGCATCGCCAGTTGACTTATGAGTGACGATGCAGCAGATTACATCTTCAGGCATGGTAGGCTTATGCGGGGCGAACGCTTACGGTGCCACAAGCATTCTGCGTGGCGAGATTACGACACATCATTCGTACTATATGCCGGTGAGACATCGATATTATGGGCATTGCGGTCACCGATCGGATTTAAAACAGGTCGACCTTGGCGAAAAAGAGATGCGAAGTGTTGACAGAAACATCGGCGAGGTTAGTCAAGCTACCTAGATGAATATTTGTTTTGAGCTGGCGATTCCGGCTCTATCACCTCTCTACTCATAGATATAGCAAAAAGGCCCAGCAAGCGTACTGGAAGCCTCTCTTATCGTCATGTTAGGAAAGCCCAAATAGTCGCCGAATGTCATAACATCATCCAACGTCGCATTCCTCGTCGGCGGGGTGTTCAGAAACGTAAGCGTTCCAGCAATAGTAAACCGCCTATCTTCCAAATTCTGGTTCTGCCAGATCCACCAAGTCCGGTCAATCTGGGCGTGATGATGCCAGAAGTATGGGTCAGACGGGGAGTTGTAGAAGTCTGAGCCCGCGTCACCGGCGATTGTCTGATGGCCACCAAGGTGAACGCGAAGTTTTCCAGGAGAAGGGTTTTGGAGCGTGTCTTGGAAAGCGGAGATGTTGGCGCTGGCTGTGATTAGGTCGGCGACATCAGCGTCGGTGGTTTCCGAGGATGAGCGTGTATTGATGTCGCGCCTGATGCATCTAGGGTTGTAGCCTAGACCATTTGGAGATGGGTTTGGCGGTACGGTGCTGTCGAGAGAGGATACTGGTCCGATATGCATCTTCCAGCTAGATTGCCGTCAGTATTGCGGACATGATTAAGGCATCTGATGAACGACGACCTACTCTTTGAAGGGCCCAGAGGCAACACAACCACCTCCATTGCCGGGTGGAACTTCCACGAAGCATCGGTTTGGGTTAGGTACACAGCTGCCATTACGACCGGGAACATATACCCCATCTCCAGAGATACTCGTGTCGCTTCCATCGAGGAGAGGGGATGCGGCGGGGTTATCAGCCCACAACGCCCAGTTGTAATATGGAAGATAACCCTTGTATCCGCACTCATTACGCAGAGTCTGCTCCCATGCCCACATAAAGTAGCGGTGCCACGACAAGAAGTTGCCCTTGTCGATGTTAGTTATTCTGATGAGGCGTCTTAGGGGTTGACGAAGAATACGTTTCCGTGCGTGTACTGTGTCAGCAGGATATGGGTGACCACAAAGTCATCGTAACGACTTATCGCACCAGAGGCAACAGCAGCTGGAGTTCTCGCCTTCGTCTTTCCCATACAGTGAACAGCTTCGATGTAGTTCAGCTTCTCCGCACGCTTCAGCATAGACCTGTGGGGTATGAGTGACATCCTTCCTGTTGTTTGCATGAGCATACCATTCACGGCGCCGAGCGGCTGTACTTGAGGTACAGTTCCTGGTGTAGCTATCGGGGTGTTTGGCCGCATCAAGCCATAGTTGATCAAGCCCGTGTTTGGCTAACGCATCGGTCTGAGGAGCTTGTGCTACGGTGCTTCCGACGGAGAGCAGAAAAGCAAACATAAACCTCATGGCGAGGTAAAAGCTTGGTTGAAACTTAAGTCAGTACCTCGTAGACGGCAATTGCGAGATGCCATGACTCTTTATACTTAGCATGCGGTTACACCAGAACATGCGAGCCCGGCATAAGTGCACTTGTTCATGCGGGCGCATAGTTAGTGTAGAACACGCTTGCAGTCACAGGCTTTCATTATTAATATCGCATATCCAGATTCTATCAGGGTTGTTCGGACCAGCATTTGATGAGTAGTTTGCATGCCAGAGGCTTCCAGCTTGCGTATGCATGCATCTGATGGTGGCGAAGGACCACACGTTATAGGAAGGTGCGGGAACTGTACAACAAATGCGTTGAGACAAAGATGGTGCGAAACGGGCTGTACTTGTGAGCGAAAATTTCGTGAGGTTCTGCCCGTCTGGAGGATCCTGCCGATGAAAGAGTCTGTATGGGCGGGTGATAGATGTTGTTCATCCAAAGATCCGGGCAATGAAGTGCATCGGGCTCCGGCATTGAGAGCTTACCTAGGTACGGTAAGATGCTGCAAAGGTAATAGTTTGTACGACATGGGCGTATGTACGCCTTGCTTGGCACTGAGATCGATGCGTAAAGTCGCCATGTGGCGCGTCTCCGGGAAATGAAGGGTCCCGAGGTCGCCCTGGTGATGTCGAAGCTGGCCACCATCTACGTGTGCGTGTATGTTTCCAGTGCTTTTGAAGAGCTCGCCAGGAGGCGGCCAGCTGCTTACCAGTGCGTTGTGAAGGAGCATTGAAGCTTTGAATGCCTAGATAGCGTGACCTCGGGGCCCCTGCAGATCAAGCCGCTGTCCGCGGAACCGGAGGGGAGGCGGCTCGTGCGCGCCATCTCAGCGCCACCATCCCGCTGTCATCTACCTAGGTACCTCCCATCGTCTTAGCAGCGATTTCGCATGCATACTACGCTGGCGGTAACATGCAAACCTGTCTAGACCTTCGCCCAACGGATCTGCCATACATATCGCAACGATGGACCTTCCTGCACTAGCACCGCGCCTGAATTTGGGCGCACCTGCACTTCCCGACGAATTGATCCTTCTCATCCTAGATGAGCTGGATGCAGATGATTACTTGACATTACGCGCTCTGAATGCGACGAGTTGGCGATTTCATCGCCTCACACTAGACCGGCTATATCGAAGATTTCCAGGTTGCGCCCCGGAGCAATTCCTGCGTACCATAACGCTGTCTCATTCAGCCCACTGTCATGAACTCACAAACTATGTCAAAGAGGTGGTGTGGTATCAGGATTATTGGAGCCGACCATGCAGACGCCGATGTCTGCCTTTAGGCGACAGGCATGCCGTTGCCAACAAACTCAGAAGCTCTGGGGCCATCTTGGACACCACGGATATCTCTACCGACCTACCAACCCGCTTCATAGGTTTTGCTTCTGATCACGAAGTGCATTGGTGGTACCTGGAGTTCTTTTTGTTCTTCACGCCTAAAGTTGAAAAGATCACCGTACACGATGTATGGCAGTGGGACGACCACTCTTACTGGTTCAAGACTTTGGCTGCCAATCCAGCTCACTTCGGGAATATTCGATCAATCACTCTGCTGGGTCCTCTACGTCTAAAAAGTATTGTACCCCTTCTGACTTTGCCCTCCATACAAACCTTGGAGCTTACTCAGGCCGTCGATATGCGTCGAGAGCCTGGCAGGACTTTCCCCTGGGACGATGACGGCGAAGCCCACGTTGATCGGTGGCTGGCTAACGGCTCATCTCTCGAACGCTTGGTTATAAGAGAATCAGACTTTCACTTCCCTTCGGTAATGATCATTCTCGAAAAGCTTAACAAACTCAAGACTTTTACCTACGAGCACGTCACCCATGAAATGAAATGGCGTCCTGGGATACCGCCAGCTATTTTCTCATGGATCGGAAATATCGGATGGGGTCCAAATATCTTTCTCGAGAACCTACGTCTACGAGTGGATTCGGTGGTGACGGAAACGGAGCTGTCATCGCTATGTTATCATGTTACCGGACCTACACTCCCGAGACTCCGTACTCTGGATATTGGTCCTTGCAATATTGAAACATTCAGTCAATCGGAGTCCCCACACCCTGAAGACCTACATCCTATAGCGAGAAAGATTGTCAAAACCTTTCCAGACACTCTCGAACTTCTGCGGCTTCAGTGGACTTATGAGCTAGGCCAAGAATCCAAGCTACAATTCCTCATCGGCATCTTGTCACATTTGGTCGAAGCCGCTGCTTCTTCGGCGTCCAGATTGAAACAGATCTATATCACCTGGCCTGCACTGGCAGGCTGGTTTCCCCTCCCGGACGAGCTTAAGGTTCTGAAGCGGGTATATGAACGTTCAGGAATGCAATTCGATGTAGTCTACGAAGATATCGAGGGACAGGAGCCGCTGGCTATCAAAGAAGATGTAGAGTCTGATTGGCTCTGGGTACACAAAACAGACGCTTTTGCGGCTCATTGCTTTTAGAAAGTCCAACCCACAACCGCATGAAGCTGGGCAAAATTGCATTCTTGTACGACTGCTGCAGGCGGCTAGGATACTTCTAAGAGCTTTGTGGGGTTTGAGTCGCTTGTATATCGGTGTAATGTTAGCAGATGATTCGCCATTATTGTCAACACGTGCTTGACCGGTCTAACTGCCGCTAAGGATTAGCGTCCCAACGCGGGGAAGCTCGTGTGCCATGCCACCATATCTAAAGACCACCTTACTTTTAAATTTGAGTGAAATACCTCTTGCATGATGCATCTCAAGTCTAAGCCGCTTGTATGACCCATCTGCGGCAGTGTCGTTCGCGCATGCTACCCTCCAGCCACCATGTCGATCACTGTACCATCTTTGTGTCCCTTCGATGCTCTGCCCAACGAAATGGTTATGAGCATCATCGAGCGCATTCCAAATGAGAACGCTAAGGACATATGTCACCTTAGTCTGAGCAGCCGGCGGATGTATACGCTTTCGCTCGATCATTTATACGGAAACCTTTTCGTACGACGTCCTTGGCCACTACTACGTACGCTATGTGCAAATCCAGAGCTTGGAAATCGAGTCCGAAACCTCACATGGAAGCACGGTTTCGACGATCACGACGATACTGAGGAGAACCGAGCTGTTTTCCTTATATGCATTAGGATTATGGGGCTACCAGAGAAGGACAGATTAATGTCTAATGCTAGTGGCACACGACGCGATGACGAATTTCTCGAAATACTTCTCATGTTCACCCCGAATGTCGATACACTTGTCGTCGCAGACAAAGCCTTCTGGCCAGATGACAAATACTGGTTCACGACTATAGCGAACCATTCGGATCGTTTCATACACCTAAGGAGCATCAACATACACGGTCCGCTGTCGTTAGAAGCCATTGCATACATTTTCCTCCTTCCTTCACTCCACGATTTTACCGCTTCGGACTTAGTGCTCCTCGATCAGAACAACAAACGCCCGGCTTGGGACCAAGACATTCCGATTCAGACTGTGCTAGATCCCGCATCTTCTCAAGTCCAGGAAATCACGCTGAAACGATCCGTTGTGGAGGTGCCGACGCTGAGATACTTCACCGAAGCTTGCAGGAATTTGAAGAGTTTCTCCTACGAACAAGACATCAATAATGGTAATAGCAGGACTATACGAACTCTGTGTAAGGCATACGCTGACTTCGCATCTTCTCCTTGGCAGATCAACGCGGCATATACTCTCCAAGCCTCTTGACCAAGTTTAGCGAGCTTGCGGGAGCGTTCATACACAATCGCGCCACGATTGAGCGTCTCTCCATCCGGGGCGACCAACAAATGCTTTGTCAGGGGCACGTGCTGCAGATAGCACGCCTGGCTTCGAATATGACAAGTCTTCGCTCGTTGGATATGGGTTTGATAACACACGACGACGAGCCGATTAATTGTACTTCCGATTTCGTTGCGAAACTAGTCCATCATCTTCCACCATCACTGGAAGAGGTGAGCTTTGAGATTGACTGGCAAGAACACTGGGGTTCAAAGGGGTGGGAGGGCCCGACAGAGATGCTGCGCCATCTCGCTGAGATGGCTTCTCCGAAGCTGTCTCTGAAGAGAGTTGCTGTAGTAGACTGGCCACCTTTCTTGGGTCACTTCCCGCCAGATTTCGCGAAGCTACACCAGTGCTTTGCCGATCGCAACATAGACTTCGTATCAATTCCCGCTCATATTGAGGGGCCGGATCCTCTGCAATTGCTGGACTACGTAGAGCCAGGATGGGTGTTTGTGCAGGTAGCGGATGCGGAGTACGCGTAATCTAATTTGTGTGCGCGACGCTGCGAAAACAAAGGCGCTTTAGCTTAGTCTTCATGTCCTGGTCGTGATTTCTGGTGATTGACGCGTGAAATTCGTTTGCAGGATTGGTGGGTGGTGAAGGGCTGAACGCGCTGGTGAGGGATTAGCGTGTTGGGCGCCCGATGACTCGCGTATAAGGCTGCGATGTACGTCATGTTCAACCTACAACGCGCCCCTCCGAATCTTCTGCTCACGATCGCATACCACCTACCACACTTGACCAACACTCTCGAAAATTTACAATGGCCCAAAAAGGAGACCATCTATTGCAGCGCCCTCTCTATGGTAAGATACCTGCTCCCCCAGTGCACACGGAACTAACATCCGCAGTGTTTGATCTTCCCGAAGAGCTATTAGCCACACTCACTCTCAAGGATCAGCCTGAGCAGCCATTAGAACAGATACCGATCCCAACACCTGTAGCGGCGAGCGACTCTCCTGATACCGCCGAAGACGAGAGCAGCAGCCCGGCAAAGGCCACATCGTGCAACCTCTGTGGGCTCAGCTTCGCATCCCTTGCAGACCAGCGCGCTCATGTCCGATCCGACCTCCATGGATACAACCTGAAGCAAAAGATAAAAGGCGCAAAGCCTGTAGGCGAGGCCGAGTTCGAGAAGCTCATCGGAGATCTGGACGAGAGCATATCAGGGTCTGAGTCATCGGAATCCGACGACGATGAAGATGAAGAAGGGGCGAAGGCAAAGGACTCGACATTAAGCGCACTTTTGAAGAAGCAGGCCAAGATTTCGGATCCGGAATTCGAGGATTTTGCCTCAAGGAAGAAGCAGAGAGGTTCTGGCAAGCCTCCGCTGATATGGTTCTCGTCACCCTCGATACCCGAAAATATGTCGCTGGGCGTCTATCGCGCGATCTTCTCGAATGCGGAGCAGGAGGACGAGTCACATATCCTGGATACTATACGCGCAAAACAGCTATCCCCAAAGCAGCCTCCCAAGATCAAGGCGAATGAGGGTGGTGTCCCACTACCAGGCACACACATTGGGCCGCATTTTTTTCTCTGTATGATAGGCGGTGGTCATTTCGCTGCAATGATAGTGGCGCTGGCACCAAAGACAGGGAAGAACCACACAGGATTCGATGAGCGTTCGGCAACTGTAATTGCGCATAAGACCTTCCACAGATACACTACACGACGGAAACAGGGAGGTTCGCAATCAGCGAACGATAACGCAAAGGGCAACGCACACTCGGCCGGTTCATCCATTCGTCGCTATAACGAGACCGCACTCGTTGCCGAAGTCCGCGAGCTACTCTCTAGCTGGAAAAGCATGATCGATAATGCAGAATTGATCTTTGTCCGCGCGACCGGCGCGACGAATAGGAGAACTCTGTTTGGTCCGTATGAAGGACAGGTTCTCCGTCACAATGACCCACGCAACCGAGGCTTTCCCTTCAGTACACGGCGAGCGACGCAGAAAGAGCTGATGCGTTCATTTGTTGAGCTTACTCGAGTAAAGCAGAGTACCATTGATGAAGCAGCGCTTGCTGCTCTTAATAATTCTCAGAAGGAAGCTGCGGCCACCGCACCCGCTCCAGCGAAACCCAAGCCCAAAAAGTTGACGAAGGAAGAAGAGGCAGCGACATTACACACGTCCCAGGTTATACCGATAATCAAGCGTTCTAAAGTTCCCGCGCTTCTAAACTACCTCAAGACGAATGAAGTTTCACCAAACTTCCAGTTTCTCCCGACCAACCATCACACACCGACACCACTACATCTTGCTGCAGCCCTGAATTCTGCTCCTATCATCCTCGCGCTCATCACGAAGGCCGGGGCCGATCCGACTGTGATGAACGATGAAGCGCGAACTCCTTTCACGCTGACTGGTGACCGTGCAGCTCGTGACGCATTTCGCGTCGCACGCTCAGAGCTCGGAGAGTCTGCCTGGGATTGGGAGAAGGCCGGTATACCTGCAGCCATCACCAAAGCCGAGGCCGACAAGCGAGACGCTCAAGAGAAGACCGAGAAGGCTGCTGAGAGTAAGGCTGAAGCTGATCGACGGAAGGCTGAGACCGAACGTGTGCGGAAAGAGAGTGAGGCCGAGGAAATCAGGAAAAAGGAGCAGAGGTTGGGGAAGGGCAAGTCGTTGGGTGCACTACCTGTCAAGACTGGAGCAGACTTGAGAGAGGAAGAGATGAGGGGGCTAACGCCCGAAGCAAGAGCTAGGATGGAAAGAGAACGGCGTGCTAGGGCTGCTGAAGAAAGACTGAAGCGGATGCAACGTTGAGATCGTTTCCAACAATGTCACCTGATCTTATGCCATTCGATGTCAGCACGAGAATAGTAGCATTTGACTGGGGAGGATCACGCGTAGAAAGCGTCCAAAGGGCTTCAGCAATGCGACAAGGACACTCCGCATGTGAGAGCGAGGAAGAAGGAAGACGTTCAACAAGGGTATTCTAATGAATAGCTTGGAAACAGCGGACCGTGCGGAGGGACAGAAGGGGGCAAATGATATCATGAGCAGTAGTGAAGGGAAACGAGAGACTCATGGCCCGAACACATGACGCTATCAGGGCCCATGGACTATTTCAGTCTTGATATGTATAGTTCTTCGGTAGCTGTAACAACACCTGCACCTGTACCCATCACCCATTCTTCACTATGTCAACCAGCGCTCAAGCCCTCCCTGGCGTACCAACGCCCCTCTACCTAGCCATACGCGTTATAACCGATGCAGCTTATCAGCCTGTAATCAATCTATGCGCTATCACCTACGCCGACGAGCCATCAGGATGGGAACGAGAAGATGACATCCAGCCCGAACCGCTCTTTGACCAAAACGGCAACCAAATACAAAGATACAAATGGATCTACGCCTCTGCTCTTTTCGCGCTAGCTCCCTACACTCGCCATATGAAGATCACCGTACGCTGCTGGGACGACCCTGACTCAGATATACGCGTAAATATCATCGCAGCTGATGAGCACAAACACCTCGCCGAAAAGATTGTGCAAGAAGACATCGACCACTTCATTGACACGGAAATACGTAAACCAGACGGCCAAAAGCCGCGCCTGGTACACGAGATGACCGGTGTGGCCTTCCGTGCAGCAATCGTAGATCCAGTGACTGGACGGAGGTTCGCTTGGTCTTTACTGGAGCTGAATACGTCTAACCACAGCGCTCATCCTGTGGGTAGGCGCACTCTGCAGGAAGAACAGGAGCTGGAGAGAGAGAGGCTACAGGACGTGGAGGAGGAGGAGTTCGGGCGTGTGGAGGAAGGCAAGAAGGAGAGACTGGAACTTCATGGCGGGTTGGACTTGGTCGAGGTAGACATGGGGCTGAAGGAAGAGGAGGTGCAGATAAAGGCGGAACCGAGGGTCAAAACTGAAAAAGTGAAGATGGAAGCGAAGATGAAGGAAGTCAAGATGGAGAAACGGGAGTAGGTGACGGGCGCGAGAGGAAGACACGATAATATGGTACCGAGATTGAAGTCTATGAGCGAGTGGTCTCAGATCTTAGGATGCTCATGCAAGAGCCAAGTAACCTACATGAACGAGTTTTACAAAATTACATTGTTGTCCAAATCACCATGTCCCAAGATCTATGGCTTCGATCTTAATGCCCAATGACGTCATCGCTCTTTGCAAACTTCCCTCCCAAACACCATCTCGTACTACAACAGCTGCCACCACCAATCGCAACCCGCCCCAAAATGTCTTCCACAGACGCCCACGAACAGGAAATCGATGCGCGATCCCGCTCCGCACTCGCCTCAACACGGCGCAATCTACGCTACCTCTACGACCCCAAGACCGCGCCCAACGCCGTATCCTCACGCCGCACGCGCGCACTCCTCCGCGTCCTCCGTTCCGGCGTGATATTCGCGTTCTGGAAACTCGTCCGATATGCGAAATACGTTGCGATCGGGTCACTGGTCGCGACGATAGGTGCTGGAGCTTTTGGCACAGTGGTTAGTGGGGCGGGGTTCGTGTTGGCGCCGACGGGCATTGCGGGCACGATCTTCGCGGCGACGGTTTGGGGCATTGGGAGGTTTGCTGTTAAGAAGGTTAAGAAGAGGTGGGGTGTAGGACAGGAATTGGAGGATGAGGAGGAAGAGACATGGCAGGATAGGAGGTATGCGGCGCAAAGGGTGGATTTCGGAGCGGAGGCTATGCCTTGGTGAGGAAGATGATCGACTTTGTGCGAGAAGGGAGGGTCTTGCGATGGACTTGCGAAGATAAGGACAAGAAAGAGAGCGCAGCGTATTGGCCTCGGATTGTTAGGCCTGAGCATGAGATTTCTCAACACCCCGAGTCCTGACAACGACACCGACCTCTCGTCCAAATAAGACTTTCCGATTTCCTACGTCTCTGTTTTCGCTACCAAGAATACCACGAGCTCGCTTCATCATCAGTATCGACGCAATCGCTACAAA